ACATATTAATAAAATCCATGAATAATCAAACCCGCAAAAGTCAAAGCCGCAAATATGGAGGGACGAGTGTATATTTTAATAAAGTATTAAAGATTAATAATGTAGTAGGCTTATTTTCATGCAACATGTGTTCACAGTAATTATGAATCTCTAAGAAAGAATATTTGGTTAAGCACTCACGTAGATGAGGTATGGAAATCTTTTATTTCGGATGCTTGGAAGTTGAATACTACAGGAATTACTTTTGAGTAAACAAGCATAAGGCTGTATCTATGAACCCAGCAGTGGGATTTACTTTGGAATGAATGTAGGTTAGCTTGGTTTGGAGGGCATTGGTGCAGGACTTGGAATCACACAGCTCTCCAGATGTTGTTGAGACTGCAAATCCGAGCATCCTTCACCATTGACTGCTAACAGTTGCAATCAATCTTCTGAAGAGCCAGATGATTCTCATCCCTGCTTCAGTGGTAGGTTGATTTGATCAGAAGTTATGGACTTGTTAGTTTTTCAGGCTGGATTACAACCTATATACCACCCTTTTGTCTACTGCAGAACTGGAACTATAAAGCTCATCATCATCGTCCACCACTGGCTCTGTCGTCATGGGCTGACAGTACTTTCAATACTTGCCTTCCTACGGATTCAGAATGGCACAAGAAAATGCAACACACAAAGGGAAAAATAAAAAAGCAAGCCTCTCTTTTGGCTCTAAAATACCAGTGCCACTGTCGTCTTCTTCCTTTAATTGCCCTCTTGCAGCAGCTATCCCAAAAGAGATTTGCTAGGCACTGTCATGTTTTCCTCATCCCTCCTCACATTAGCTTCTATTTGTATCTGGATTTTGGGACTGTACACCTTTGAGGACAGGGACTATCTTATTTTTATTGATCTTAAGTAAGCCTATTTGGCAGGAGAGTGGGGTAAAATTGCTGTAAACAAATAAAATAACTAACTTGGTGATTATTAAATATAGTAAGATTCAGCCTTCTAACAGAATCCACAGACCACTACCCCAGTTCTTTAAATGGGAATGGGATAAGGAGAGAACACTACACCAAGAAGTAGTATTTCACTCCTTCTTTACAATGAGGCTTTCGAAGTACAAGTAAAAGGAGGAAGAACTATGCTGAGGCTAAAATCCAATGCACATTTGCCTAGAATAAGAATCATTCAATGTGGTAGAACTTACTTCCAAGTAAACAAGCTGAGGATGCAATGCTAGTCTGAATGTACACTCCCTCTTCTTGCAAATGCCAAGCCTGATTGACTCATTCACATGACTCCCATTTAGTTTCATCCTAACCAAACTGCTATCTTGCTGCATACAAAAGAAGGTGACAACGCCTTATTTTAATTAGATGCATGGTGGAATGCTTCATTAGGAAGACATCCTTCGAGCCATGTGTGACACTCACAGCCTAAGAAAATTAAAAAGAATGACTGACTTACTCTCTTATTCACCTAGCAAATTAATATCATGCAAACACAAAAAGGCCCAAGGTGTGTGCGCGTGTGTCACATTATAGAAAGCAGTTCTTCAGACAAAGACAGTCCGATCCAGAACAAAGAGAATTCATGTAGCTTTTGCTTGGTTTACTCGCCAATCTGCATCTTCATCACCCTCATTGCATTTCCTTGAGTACATGGACTTTTTCTTCAAGAACAAACCCAAATTTGTGCACATAAAAGAATCAGTAGTATATAACACTACAATAGCATTTATATAGCATTTCAAGGAGTTCAGTATCCTTCCCCACACATTACCTTTGCAGTCCTTATCCTAGTCCTGTAAGGGATTATTTTATCCCAATCCTGTATGGTAACATTTTATTAATGTGACATGATACATGATGGGGAGTCTTCTGCACAGGGGACAGAGCCCCCTCCCTAGATGTACTCTCTCTCCTGAAGCTAGTGGAGAAATGATGCAAAATTATGGACATGCAAACTACCTTTAAGTGATAGAGATCATTTTAGGATCATCTGATTATCTTTGCAGGCTCAAAGATCCATCGACACAACTAAGAAAAACAAACTGCTGTATTGCTTTCAGCATCTTAGCAGTTTTCAGATGCTCCTCACACACTTTTTACAATATATCTGGACATCTCTGTCTTCATAGATATACTCTGTGAGATCATCCACACAAGGCCAGAACAAGGTAATTGCCCCAGGTGGTAAATGCTAGAGGGAAACAGCAGATGCCTCCTGGTATTTACTGGTGGACTTCATATTAGTGGAGCGCTGCATCTGCCATACCACTTCTCCTGGACTCCCAAAATTTGTCTGATGTCTCAAGTGCATTAAGAGCATTCTCACACTGTCATTGTTAAGACTGAACTGCTGGTCTGCCCACCTTCTTTACGTGTTATGGGAGAAGTGATCACTAACTTGCTTCAAGCAGCCTTTGCTTCAAGCAGCAAAATGCCTTGGGCCAGTCACTTCAGACTTTAGAGACCTCTAACCCTCCAGATGATTTGGCCTGCAGCTCCCAGCAGCCCATTACAAACAGTAATAGACTGTGGGGATTGTAATCCAAAACATCTGGAGGGCCAGTGGTTTCCAAGATGCATAATCATTTAAAAAGAAAATAAACACTATTCAATTGGCTCTTTTAATACAATTGTGTCAATAACTAAAAATCTTAATTCCCAGCTACTACTGGCTGGAGGCAGGGAATTAAGTCCCCTTTCTCCAGAAGATTGTGATGATAGGACAAATCACACACACCCTGCTTCTGCTAACTGCCAGGGGAGTTCTTGGAGTCACAATGCCCTGTGTAATCTTATTCATCATATTCCAGCCCCAAGGAACTGAAGGGAAGCTTCTGCCAAAGATAGCATGAGCTTCTCTCCTTTTTGGTGGCAATATCTGAACAGAGAGCAAAGACAGAAGCAAACAAAGCCCCAACAGCTCAGAAACCAGGACATCTTCTCAATCCCACTGACTCTACTGAAACCTATGAATACTGGGATCCTTTCACATTACACAACTAAAGCTTCATGATTCCACTTTAACTGTCATGGTTGTATTCTATGGAATCCTAGGGTTTGTAGTTTGGTGAGGCATAAAAACTCTCTGGCAGAGGATACAAAATACTCCTCCCTAAACTGCAAATCCTAGGACTCTCTAAGACACTACTATGATGGTTAAAGTGGAATCACAGCACTATGTACTTATGTGATGTATGTTGCAAGTCCCCTGGAAAGGGTGGTAGGCATACCAGAGTTGTTTTTTTAAAACTCACCTGCTATTTACTATAACCTAGTGCAGGGGTAGGCAACCTTTTTGAGCCGGGGGCCGTGTTGCTGTCCCTCAGACAATTGAGGGGCCGAAGCACCAAAAACAACCAAACAAATAAATAAATAAAATAAAATTTAAAAAAAAATAAAAATTAATTTTTTAAAAAAATATATGCATGCACACTTTCTCAGCCCCAGAAAAGCCATGGCAAAACCCCTGTGGAGATTTTGCCAAGAAAACCCCAAGAACAAGTAATAACAACAATAATCAATATCATCATGGCGGGCGGCGGCAGAGGCGGCAGGACCGGCCTGGGGCCAGTCCAAAGGCCTCAGCGGGCCGCATCCGGCCCCCGGGCCTTAGGTTGCCTACCCCTGACCTAGTGAAACCTAAGGCAACAACTGTTGACTTTTAAAAGGAATAGGAAGAATTTAACAGAGCCATTGTTCCCTATTTAGTTGTGTAGCCGTACAGGCTCAGGTTTGTCCTGGCCTCTAAGTAGATGACGCAGCAGGCTCCAACTTCTCCAACTGGCTTCTTTCCCAAAACTGAAACTATTCCCTCCCATTTCTTCCATGGGGCCTACATCTTGAAGAGACAGTACACAGTGAAAACCTTGTGCAAACATTTTGCAAACGACACAATCCACAAGGACAAAGCAAAAGCTAGAACCGTTTATTCGTTGCTTCCTTCTTGACTGGTCAAAAGGTGCCACCATTGATAAAAGTGAAGGGGCAGGCAAGAGCCAACAGTTAGTAGTCAATAGTGAATAGGTCTTCCCTCTTCCTGACCTATGTATTGTTAGAGTTCTTCTACCATGAGCCAACCAAAGAATGCTGGAAAAGAAACAATGGGAAGGAGAACACCTTTCAACCAAACTGGGGGAAAGGCGAACATCTTTCATTCAGACTCCAGCCTTGCTTCAATTCCCACCTGGCTTGCCTTAAACAAAACTTTGCACTACTTGCTAGGATTTGGGCTGTGCTGGGGAAAAGGAGGTACTCTTTTTCCCATGGCACAGCTCAAGCTTAAAGTTTGGTATTGGACACTGATATTATTTGGATTTTGATTCTAGAGCTGAATGTTTCTGCCCTCCACCCCACTTGACAGTACTGGGATTTTGATGCATATATACTCCCCTTTTGTTGGACAGATGGGTAAACAATACAGACATTTCAGTCAGTGTGACTGAATGAGGGAAGATCTAGGTGAAGTAACTTCTTGCC